ATGGAAACGGGAGGCGAGGATAGGGACACGCAGAGCGATGTGGGCGGGCAGCGGGGACAGGCTCCTGTGGGAATGGGGAGAGGTGCGTGGCGACGGCGAGAAGCGGGGAAGATAGAGACAGTGGTGGGACAACAGGGAAGAGGGGACAGAAATGGATGGGGGGCAGCGGTGGGGCACAGGGACAGGATGGAGGACAGGGATCTAGCGGCAGAGGATGGGGGACAGGGCACAGACCTGGTGAATGGGGACATGGAGGACAGGGACAGGACAGCAGGACAGAGGATGGTGGTTTTGGGTTGGAGAGTGGGGAGCAGGGCCTGAGGACATGGGACATGGCCCAAAAGAGGGTACCGGGGATGGGGCCTGCAGTGGGGGATTAAAGAGAGGGGACAGGAGATTGGGGACAGGGAGCTTGTGCCCAGGGACAGGGGTTAGAGAGAGGGGACAGGGACACGGGGAGGAGGGCATGGGCGTGGAGGTGGCTGATAGGGCCAGGGCTGCAGGAGGGGCACAGGGGGGAGAGACAGGGCCCCTCTCACCATAGGGTGTGGGGCATGGGGCAGTAGACTGGGGGACATCACCTCATGTCAAGATGGGGGGAACAGGCAGGGGGTGAGGGCAGGGTGTGTGCACATGACATTGGCTAAAATTAAGATTCTGGGGTAAAATTATGACAGTTGTAGGTGCTCCTACCCTGGAAGTGATCCAGGCCAGGTTGGATAAGGCCTTGAGCAACCTGGTCTACTAGAAGATATCCCAGGCAGGCAGAGGAACTGGATGAACTTTAAGTTCCCTTCCAGCCCCTTAACATTGTATGATTCTGTGCTGGCACCTCAAGGTTGTGGACTGTAAATAAAGTTCTTGTATTGAGAGCTGCAGTTCATCACCCTGGGACTGTGAAAGAGAAAATGTTCCCAGCCCAGCTTTTTATTCCAAAGGTAGAAAATAGACAAATGTGGTTGAACCACTAATGAGTCAACCATGAAAACCTGAGCAAACTGTTCCCAGCCGCAGCCCTCCCAGCTTATCGACCAGGTTAAGCGTGTGAAAGTATGTCCTGATTTTATAGAGCAATCACTGAACTCTAGCTTTTATCAGAAGCACACCTCGCTGGTAATTTACCCTTTGTCGCCACAGGTAATTCGGCTGTCGGCTGACAAGGTCAACTTTTGTGATACTGGCAAGGAAGGAAGGTGCTTCCCTTTGTTAGGCCATTTTCTCAATGAAAAGGAGAAGGGGAGAAAAACCACCACAAACCTCACCAGGAATCCAGAAGCACCCAGCCCGAGGATCCTGCCTGGGGTGAGATCATCACCTCAACCAACTCCAGGAGAGCTGCTCTGCCTTGGCAGGAGTCACTCATATTTTTCACCAACAGCATGTGTGCAGCAAGTTATTTCCTTTCTTTTATGATTAAGCCCCCACTTGTTGCCTGGAGATCAAAGCCAAGGGTTCTTCCTTTCTGGCTGGCCTGCGCAGGACGAGGCGAGTTGTGTGTCACAGGGCTGGGACCCTGGTAAACAACACGACAGAGCAGCGTCACTGCCCCATTCACCCTCCACATCCTGCTTTTGAACCAGGGCGGAAATTTGTGTGCAAGGGGGCCACGGGTGGCTCACATTTTATCCTTCTGTTGGGGCTGGAGTGTTCCTAAAGCGAGGTGGGGGCTTTTTGTGTCCATGAAACAGTTGTATGCTGTCCTGTTGTACCTTCTCCTCTGGGTGCCTTAAACATTAGCAGAGCCCCTGCAATCCTCACCGATTTGTTGGAGTGCGGAACCTGTTTGTTTTTTTCTGGCAGGAGAGCCTCCCTCGGGGAACTTTAGGGATAATGCAAGTCAGGGCTTAACAGCGGGAGGAGGAGGGGAGGACAGAGGTGGTGGCTGTGAAACAGGTGCCTGGCAAGAGGGACTGTCATAGCTCGCAGAGAGCTACAGACAGGGGCAAAGGGCAACATCTTGGCTCCAGTGAAGGCCGGGACAAAATTCCTGTTGAGTTTGGCAGGGCTGGCATGACACAGAGAGGTGACAGAGCTGTGCTCACATCAGGGACAGAGCTGAGAGTGGAGTGCCCAGCTCGGGCCGCCTCTGGCACCCCCAGCACAGCAGCCCCCTCCCCACACTGCCACAGCCTTTCAGCAAAATCCCTTTTTTATTTTCCCCAAGGAGATTGTACTCGAGGACCATTTGCATTTGCCAATGAGATGAATTATTTGGAACATGCAGGAGTTCAGTGTGTGGCCAGGAGCCACACAGGAGAAGCAGCCTGTCCCAAAGGAGCATCCCTGACCGTGTTTCTGGAATCATGGCTGCCCACAGGGCTGGGAGGAGTGCAGAGATCACCTGCCCTGTGCCCCTGACCCTGCTGGGGTTTAATTCTGCCTGGCCATCCCTGCTGGGATCCAGCTGGGTCTCTGAGGCCTCCTGGCTCGGTGCAGGAGGTGGTGCTGGGAAGCCTTAAGCTGTGCTTTGATTTTGGCTTGATCCAATGACACCAGGTTCCCACGTGATGATGCCTTGGAACCAACCTCCTCACACAGAACACCAGCATCACCCAAATCCCACAAGCACCAGCCACCTTATTAGGAATATTTGTTCCAGAATGTGCCTTCCCCCAGAAGAGCTGGGAGGGGATGGCTCGGGCTGAGATTCCCAGTGCATTTGGGCAGGATCTCAGTGGATGTGTCCCACAGGCAGAACTGCTCTGCCCCCACCCCAGCCTGCTCATTGACTCAGAGGAGCACATTCCCAAGGCTGTGCCAAAGGGGGAAAAAACAAGGAAGCACACGTGTCGGGCTGTGCCACGGGCTGTGCCCCACGGGTGCATTAAGGAAGTACTTAAGGAAGCTCCTTACTGGCCTGGGCAGATGGGTCAGAGCTGGTGTTTCTGTGCTGATTGCACTTCTCTAGGCAGTCGTCATTTTTGTCCCATCTTGGAGCCAACATGGCAGGCCCCATGCTCCTCTGAGCTTCCCGTGCCACCAGGAGCTGATGTTTCCACTTGCGAAGCTCAGGTATGTTGTTTGTCCTTCATCAACGCTGCTGAAGAAGCTTTCACCTCCAGTTTGTCCCCAGCAGCTGGCCAGACCCCTTCCAGGGGTCACCCTGCCACCTGCACAGCCAGCATGACTTCAGACCAGCCATAATCGCCGCTGCTGAGTTACACACCCAGCACAGCACTGCTTTTAAGAAAGATGTCCCAGAAGAGCTCAGTTGCGGGATGGGGAATGGCAGCTCTTCAGGAACACCAGAGAAATGTCTGAGTGTGACCCCCCCTGCAGAGCTGCCCCAGCCCTGGGGCCAGCAGCACGAGGAGCTGGAGCTGCTGCAGAGAGTCCAGAGGAGGCCCCGGAGCTGCTCCAGGGCTGGAGCCCCTCTGCTCTGGAGCCAGGCTGGGAGAGCTGGGGGTGCTCACCTGGAGAGGAGAAGGCTCCAGGGAGAGCTCAGAGCCCCTTGCAGAGCCTGAAGGGGCTCCAAGGGACCCAAATCACATGTAGAGCCCAGGCTCAAGTTTGTGATTACAAATCTCCAGGGCACTTCCACGCAGCCTGGCGGGGTGAGGTTGCTCAGATTGTTCCACAGCGCCGACACCGAGGAGCCAGCCCTGCTTGTCAGTGTGTCCTTCAGAAACCTGGCTCGTTTGAAGGAACTGTGCTTTGTTGACTCTGCCTTTCACACCTCAGAGGAGCTGAAACTCCAAAGTTGGCACAACAGAGGAAGAGAATGAAGCAAGCCCACATTAAGAGACTTCAAAATACTTCACCAAGGAGATCAGGAGCAGCCTGGTCTGGTGGAAGGTATCCCTGCCCATGGCAGGGGAGTGGAACAAGATGGTCTTTAAGACCCCTTCCAACCCAAACCCTTCTGCAATTCTAATAATAATGTCCAGTCTGAACCTCTCCTGTTTCAATTTATGCCCAGATAGCTCCCTGAGAGTATAAAGCAGGTGTGAGTGAGACCAAATCCAGATCCCATGGCATTTTAATACAGAGGGAAGAAATCCTCAGCTAGGGAATTCTTACCTCTTACACTCATTCCTACCCTGCAGAACCAGCACACACTATGCCCTGAGGGTGGGAAGTGTGATTTTACACTTACCAGGCACCTTAGCCCAGGTCGTGAAATCATCCAGAAAGCTCAAAGGCGGAAACTTAAGGAAGAAAAAAACAAAAGATGAAAAGAGACTTAAAACAACAAAAAGACAAGTAACATATTTAAGACCTGCACACTCCTTCCGTAAACCAGACAGAAATGTCAAGCCAGGAATGTCACAGCACAAGAATAACTACAGTGAAACGAAGAAAAAGAGACAACAAGAGTGTGAGAGGAGGCGCCTGGGACACAGGAGGAAGAGGATGTGGATCATTTTGTTTCCAGCAAAACAAACCCAGTGCCAGCTGAGTAATGAATGCCATTGTGAGCCCTAGAGAAACACTCCAGCACAGGGCCTCTGTGAGTTTATTTTAACACTTATTAAACATGTCTGATTTCCTTCCCTGACCTTTGCCAGGTAAAAAGCTGTTGTGTTCCAGTGAGGACCTGTATCTCACATCCCGTGAGAACTCGGGGTGAGTGATTTCGCCCAGGGCAAGGGATGCTCCTGATGAATGGGGGTGGCATCACCGCTGCACTCCCCAGCCAGAGGCTCTTCCTGGGGGCTCTGGGCCTGCTGGAGCAAGAGCACAGTTCCTCCTGGGATCATGTAACCCTGCTCAAGCAAACCCCAGGTATTTGCTGATAACTGGACATTTTTCAGCTTGCTCAGCTCCTTCTGGCACCTCTTTTGAGAGGTCTGGTGCAGACTGAGCAGGAGGCGTGAAGGGGAGTGGGACCATCTCTGCTCCTAAGGAACAAGTGACAGGACAAGAGGAAATGGCCTCAAGTAGTGCCAGAGGAGGTTTAGGTTGGATATTATGGAAAATTCCTGCATGGAAAAGGCTGTCCAGGCGAGTCCCCCTCCCTGGAGGGATTTAAAGCTGTGTGGATGTGGCACTTGGGGACACGGGTTAGTGGTGACCTTGGCAGATTCCACTGGATGACCTTGGAGGGCTTTCCCACAATTCTGGGATTTCTCTCCCCGCTCCACCGACACCTTTCGGTGGCACAAGGCCAGGTGCTGTCCCACACCATGTCCCTGTCTCACGGGCTGAGAGGTGACTGAGCTCTCCACCATTCCCAGTGCCCGCCAGGCAAGCGTGGTGTCCAGCTGGCACCTGCTGCCTCGGCCAGGGAACTGCAGCAGGAGGGACAATGCACACAGAAATGCGCTGCCGTGCCGGACACGAGGCCGCTGCATTTGCTGTTTGGCCGGAGCTCCCCAGCTCTTTGGAGTCGCTGACCCCTCCTGTGACTGGAGCAGGTCAGGAATTGCTGTTTCTGGCTGTTCCAGGTTGGTTTTCCCCAATTCTACTAAGAAGTGTTATGTTGTTCTGTTCTATTCTATTCTATTCTGTTCAGTTCTGTTCTATTCTATATTTAATTTAATTTAATTTAATTTTATTTTTATTTTATTTTTTATTTTTATTTATTTTTATTTTTTATTTATTATTTATTATTTCATTTAATTTTAATTTAATTTTCATTTTTATTTTATTTTAGATTTTATTTTATTTTAATTTTTATTTTATTTTGTTTTATTTATTCATTACTTTATTTTATTTTATATTTTATATTTATTCTATATTTTATTTTATATTAATTATTATTTTATAATTTATTTATTTTATTTTTGTTGTTTAATTTAATTTTAATTTAATTTAATTTTAATTTAATTTAATTTAATTTTAATTTTAATTTAATTTTATATTTTATTTTTATTATTTTAATTTAATTTTTTATTATTTTATTTTATTTTATATTTTATATTTTATATTTTATTTTTATTTTATATTTTATTTTATATTAATTATTATTTTATATTTTATATATTTTATTTTATTTTTAATTTGTTATTTAATTTTAATTTCATTTTAATTTTAATTTTAATTTAATTTTATATTTTATTTTATTATTTTATATTTTATTTTATTATTTTGTATTTTATATTTTATTTTATTTCATTTCATTTTATTTTATTTTATTTCAGTCGAGTGCAGCCTGTGATGGAAGAAGGGTGGAGAGGTGATGAGTAAGGATCAGGGGAAGGCCGACAGGGCGGGTTTGCAGGTGGGAGCCAGGTGCGCTCCACGCAGCCGGCACTAAGAGGGAGAAGCGCAGCGCCACGGGCAGTGCTCGTTCCCGTGGTGTCTCCACACAGCAGCTCCGTGCCGGGAACGCGCTGCAGCGGGGAGCAGCGGCTCCGGGAGGTCCCTGGGGCTCGTAGGAGAGACGTTCCTGGCAGCAGCGCAGGAGCCATGAAGCGCTGAGGCCGCCGGGCCCCGCCGGGCCTGCC